ATAACCCCGACCACATTTACTTCCCAGGACTGCATCTTGTACTCTCACCCCTCCTATTAATACCCAAGGACTTGATGTCTGGTATACTTACACGTGTTGAGAACCTCTCCTATTAATACCCAAGGACTTGATGGCTGGTATACTTACACTTGTTGAGAACCTCTCCTATTATTACCAAAGGACTTGATGTCTTTTATACTTACACGTGTTAAGGACCCCTACTATTATTACCCAAGGACCTAATGACTGGTATACTGGTATACTTACTTACACTTGTTGAGAACCTCTCCTATTATTACCCAAGGACTTGATGTCTGATATACTTACACGTGTTAAGGACCCCTACTATTAAAACCGAAGGACTTAATGACTGGTATACCTACACGTGTTAAGAACCCCTCCTATTAATACCCAAGGCCTTGATGGCTGGCATACTTACGCATGTTAAGAAACCCTCCAAATAATACCCAAAGACTTTATGGCTGGCATACTTACGCATGTTGAGAACCTCTCAAAATAATTCCCAAGACTCTATGGCTGGCATACTTACGCATGTTAAGAAACCCTCCAAATAATACCCAAAGACTTTATGGCTGGCATACTTACGCATGTTAAGAAACCCTCCAAATAATACCCAAAGACTTTATGGCTGGCATACTTACGCATGTTGAGAACCTCTCAAAATAATTCCCAAGACTCTATGGCTGGCATACTTACACATGTTGAGAACCACTCCTATTAATACCCAAAGACTTCCTGCTACGACTTTAATTACTGCTCGATGAAAACAAAAATATTCCCAAACCACTAATAACAACCTATAAAGAGCAGCAGTCCTCCACAACGCCAAGTGAAATGGCAATAGGAGTCGAAGAATAACTTGTCTAAAGACATGTTCCAATCTCTGTTTGAATGTGTCCAGGAAAATCACCGTAATAGGAGATTCTTCTGGTGCGTCGTTGTTCGGCCTTTCCCGACATACTTCTCGGATGACCGGAGATTACCGATGAACACCAAATGTGGCACGACTGTTTTTTTTTTTTTTTTAGATGAAGATTTTAAAAATCTTTTTTATTTAGTGTGTTAGTGGGGGAGAGAAGTGGGGGGGGGGGGGGGGGAAGTGAGTCATCGTCATCATCATGTGTCCACCTTTGCCTTTAAGAGTCGTGGGGAGAAACATTTTGCGATCTATTGCTTGACAGGTAGAAATGGTTAATTGTCATTCGAGCAGGCCTTTAATGTCATCAGTCCCTTTCTTTTTGTGTGACCTTTTGCTTCACGCCAGTTTATTATAGACGTAACGCATGTTTCGGCTGTTGTTGATTCTGCATTCTAATGAGATGACCGAACCATTTGATCTTCAGCTTATTTGTGAATTTAGTGGAGTGTGTCGCTACCACCGTCTGTCTGATACTATCATTTCTCAGTCTCTTTCGGGTGATTGTGGTGGTTGCTTACCTGGAGCATCTCATCGTATATATGTTAATTTTCCATAGTTTAGCCTTTAATAATGTCCAAGTTTGTCACTGGTAGCACAGTCATCATCCTCATTATCATGTAGCATGTCCTATGCAGAACGTCGCTCTCATCGCGGTCTGCCTGAAAGAAACTCTCCTGCCTCATGAACTTTCATACTCAAGGAGTCACTTATATCATGTGCCCATCTTCGTGTTGGTCGGCCCCTGCTCTTCCTTCCTTGTACCATACCTTCTGCTATAATTTTTCCAATCCATTGTGGTGCTTGATATGACCAAAATATTTCAGCTTCTGAGACAGGGTGCTGTTTATTAGCCAGTCTTATTTGATGTTCAGATCTTTCAAGATGTCAGTATTTCTCCTCTTTTTCGTTCAAGATATTCTGAGAATCTTTCTATAGCATTTCAGCTCAAAAGCCCCTATTCTCTTTCTTAAGGACTGGGAGATAGTCCACGACTCACATCTGTATGTTGCAACAGGGAAGATGCATGCTCTCAAAATTCTAATTTTGATCTCTTTGCTGGTGCTTAACCACAGTAGCACATGGCGGTATGAAAATTATAATATATCTTATAGAGCAGTGGTTCTCAACTTTCCTAATGCCGCAACCCTTTAATAAAGTTCGTAATGTTGTGGCCATCCTTTAATGCGACTCCTAATGCTGTGACGACCCCCAACCACACCATTTTTTCATCGCCTTTCATCACCATGTGTTTTGCGATGGTCTTTTGCGACCCCTGTGAAACGGTCGTTTGACTCAAAAAAAGTTTCGCGACCCACAGGCTGAGAACCGCTGTTATAGAGCTTAAACAGCACGATAACCTATTGCAGAGCACCTGCCAACGCGCTGTAGTAACAATTGTAAGATGATTCATCTTTGCCGTGGCAACTTATGGATAGGAGTTACGTACTTTTACTTAGTCTCTATATAAGAAACTAATTAAACCTTCTAATCTATAATGCTATAAATAGGTTCTTAGATCACCGTGGACCAAGAAGAACATGAACGCCAACATCCTGAATGACCTGAACATCACCGTGAATTTGGCTCATAAACAGCATTTTGTCTAAGAAGCTGGCACATTTTGGCCGCGTCACGAGTCATTGTGGTCTGTAGAGAATGGTGATAGTGAGTCAGTTTTCGGAAAACGAGTCAGAGGCCGACCTCCGCAGAAGTGGATACATGACATTGAAGATGCCTTGTCTTTGATAGCACATAGGACTGGATCCGTCCGACCATTTCGAAACAAACCAAAAAACCCACCACGTTGACCCTACTGCGACCAATATCGGCTATAATTGTGGTGTGGTTTCTTTGTGCCAAATATATTGGCTAAGAAGTGTTAACTGCACCAAAACGAGTGGCTTTGACTAGTACTCTAGCACCTTGTGATGGCTATTAGGGAGGGGGCTGGTGTGCACCACACATGTACATACACACACACGCACAGACACACACATACACACATACTCGTATAAATAGACATACATTCACGAATAATATATATATATATATATATATATATATATATATATATATATATATATATATATATATATATACATACGTGTGTGTGTGTATACATCCTAGTGGGAATGCATGCATACGTGTTTGCATACATACATACATACGTAAAAATATATATATATATATATATACACACATACACTCAGTGAAGCCACAGTGGTATAGCCACATGGTGTAGACTAATGCCCCATCCACGTGTTAGAAGCATTCTATTGCACGAAGCGCAGTGTTATTTACGCTGTCATCTACAAAATATGTGGTATGAAACACATAAGTGAAGCGGGCTTACGACTAACTGACAAGTTCAGACAACATCTCTTAGATGTGCAGAACAGTGCCTTTAAACCTGTACCTGTACTATGCTCTTCAGTTCTTAAAACACCAACGTGTCCGCAAAATCACAGAGGTTACGTTCGTCAAATATAGTCACTCAAGTGACAGAGACGTAAATCTCTCGAAAACCACCTGATCTATCTAAACTAAATATGCCATCTCAAATTCCAAAACAAACGATAGCATAATGGCGATGTAGATAAATGATACAGTCGCCATGGTAACTTTTAGTGTTATTTATTTTTTTATTTTTCGGCCGTAATAAAAACAGGTAACCAACCAGTTATGCGCACGAAACAAATATGAGGTATTCCCGATGTGAGGTACAATATTTCTAGAGGCACAATATAAGTGTCAGCAGTGATGAAAAGAGGAGACTGCCGAGGTCTGAAATGGCTTTTTCAAAAAGTTAACAGTACTACAAAATCCTTATTGGAAGAAGACACTGATGTTAATGATGTTTGCGACCACACCAAATAGACTGATTGCAGCTGTTATCACATCGTTGTTTACGACCATGTAAATGTCTTTCTCATAGTCTGTTATTAAGGGTAGATGCAGACACAGACCACTCTTTGCACGAAGCTCTGGGTGCATTTAAGGATCAGCGGCTGATAAGAGGGAAGTCATGGATGTCTCAGACAGAAGACACAATCAGACAGGTTTGCCTCCTTGAGAACATTAGGCGAGGAGTGGAGTGGGTCAAAGTGCCACCTGAACAGTCAGACTAGTGTAGGGTCATAATCACACTGAGCCGGGAATGCAGAGACTGGCCAGCAGGTGCCACGGAGTTGGAAATACAGCAAGTGATTCAAGATAAGGCTCGCACAGAGGATTTGATCATTTACACAGACAGTTCAGTGTCAAGAGGCAAAAGAAATGCTTGGGGTTTCTTAGCAAAAGTTAATGGGGCAGGAGAGCCTAACATATGATACCATAACATCCAGCTTAAGAATATAGTTGGAGGCGTTACGGCAGCTTTCCGCTGGTTAGAGAACACTAAACACACACACACACACACACACACACACACACACACACACACACACATGGTGATTGTAACTGACTCAGAAAACATGCTGAGGAAGATCAGGACAGGCATGCTTCGTGCAGAGTGGTATGCCTCGCTGCGGAGGACACTGGAAAGGACTATTGTCTAGATTTTTTCACCGGAGCACGCCGGTATTTTGAAAAATGAACATGTGGACAGACTGGCTGGCTCTGCACAACTTGGTGGAATACTGATGCATGATAAGGCAGACATGATTAGTGCCTTGTGGGAGAGCAGGTACAGTTCGGAGGAGCAGATGGATCACCACATTCTGATGGGATTGATGCGGAGGGAGGGGGGGGGGGGTGACGAGAGATTCTGGCAGATGCTTGAGGCTCAGAGGAAAATCAAGACGGACGTTTAATCAGAATGCCACTGGCACCATGGGCATCGGAACTCTTCGATGGCTGCTGAAGAATGGGGACGAAGCGCTTATTAGAATGCCCCGAGTGCTGTGATGTCGGTTCTTGAATCAAAACATATCTTTGACTGCCAGATGTTTAACAGTTTGTTAAAGGAACTAGATGTCAATGCGGTTTTAGATGATTTTTCTGGCGCTAAGTTTCTATAGATATCATCTTACTTGCTAGGTTTCACATCAATTGCTATATTTTATTTATATGATGCTGTAATCCTAAACATGTCACAAAATGTCTCTCTATATTTAGAGCTCATTTTGTAGTAGACAAAGATATTGATGCTTGCATTAATGGCTTCAAAAATAAAAGCAAAAGTCCAAGCAACATAAAATAAGTTGACTTCCCTTCCAAAGATTCTAAATTCGACCATGGAAAATGTTGTCAACGATACAGCGACTCCAGGTATATAACAGACAATTAACACAATGGCTATGAGTACGACCATGTTCATCGTCTTCCGGTCCCGACTTGACATGGATTCTGAAAGTCCACGCTCTATGTTCGCTTTCTTTCTCCATTTTGATTTTTGCTTCAGCTGCTGAACTAGAATAATTGTGAAGATAATTACGGCTACAAACGATACAGTTCCGAGAACGGAGTACAAGAAGAACACAATCCCTTCATTGCTGGATTTTTTGCTAGTAAACATCAACCCAAGTAATGTTCTGTTCTTATGTGGATAAAACTTCCAATCAAAATAGGCAATCTCAAATTCCGGAACAAATGACAACATAATAGCGATGTAAATAGATGATACAGTCGCCATAGTAACTTTTGGTGTTATAAGTTGTTTGATTTTTAGCGGTGAAATGATGCACAAACATCTTTCAGCGGTAATGAAAACAGTTAACCAGCCAGTTATGCGCACGAAACAAATATGAGGTATTCCCGATGTAAGGTACAAGATTTCTAGGGGCACAATAACGGCGTCTGAATAGACAAAAAGAGGATTGACGCAAACTCCACCCCACAACAAACCGAGGAGACTGCCGAGGTCTGAAATGGCTATTGCAAAAAATGTTATGTTGACGGTACTACTGAATCCTTGTTTGAAGAAGACACGGATGTTAATGATGTTGGCGACCACACCAAATAAACTGATGGCAGCTGTTACCAAAACGTAGTTGGCGACCATGTAAATGTCTCTTTCACGGTCGTTTATTAGTGGCCGTTGGTAGTGAATCATTTGCCGATTAGAAATGGATAAAGTGTCATTTATGTTTACAAAAAACATGATTACAAACCGTAAAAACCTGAATGATGGTGAAAACAGGGTGGTATTTATCCTGTGGATTCTGATAAACTGGCGTCAAATGAACTTTTTTCGATGCAGTGGTGCCAAAAAATCTTTTCTGATGTACTGGCACTAAGAAAACGTGTAACCACAGATCTGAAACAGACCATTATTTAGAAATACAAAATATGACGCAATACTGTTTAAAAGAACAGTCGCATATATATGAAAGTTCATCAAATATGGTACACTGAAAAAAAAAAAAAACTGTCGTTAAATATTAATATTGCCTGGAGAGAATTATGCATGTAGGTGTAACCAGAGGGTCTGTCCGGCTAACGACACTCAGAAAAAAAGGCGGGACGGGCATATAAATATATTGCGACCGGTACCATTAATATTCTGACTCTGCGCTTGCTGTTGAAGATCGGGACTGAGAGCGTTTGGGAATGCCCCTAGTGAAGTGATATCGATTCCTTATTCCTGACTCAGCTCAACATCAATTGTCATGATACCGCCAAGAAAAGAATATTATTCACGCTAAAACTGTGCTGCTAGTGCCAAACTTGGTCATTATCAAATCCAAACCTACGCAAAATTAAAACACATATGAAGTGACATTCCTCGGAAAAGCCGTTCTCTCAACCATCCAAAACAGAGTGAGAAACGATACTATTAGACAGACTGTGGGAACAACATATTGCACCATATTCATTGAGTAGTAGCAGTAGTAATAATGTTTTACAAATATCAGACTAAACCTCAGGGTTATAACTGGGATATAAAGTGTTTATATAGTTCTCATAGTATATATTTGTTATTTAATATACTGTGCAATTGTTTCTATAAGAAAATATACAATTTTGCTTTGATCTGGGTTATAGTTATTATACAAACTGTACTATGAGTAGTTAGATAACATTACTAAAACTGTGTCATTAAAATAATGGAAGTTTTGTATGCCCTTAGAATATAAGTTTACTAACTTCGCAGAGTTTATCTTTAAGAGAAACTTATTCAATGATGGCATGGATGTTTTTTACTCCTCTGTACATGGATTTTAGTTCAAGTTATAGATTGTTTGACCAGGCAAAGCAGGTCTCTGGGGCTTGACCTTGCAACGCAGGTCTCTGGGGCTTGACCTTGCAACGCAGGTCTCTGGGGCTTGACCTTGCAACGCAGGTCTCTGGGGCTTGACCAGGCAACGCAGGTCTCTGGGGCTTGACCAGGCAACGCAGGTCTCTGGGGCTTGACCAGGCAACGCAGGTCTCCGGGTCTGTCTATAAAAGAAGCAGAAGATACAATGGTCTGGTCATATCCTTAGAATGCAGATACAATAACTTCCAATAACGGTGCTATGTCTAAGATGATTTGTAGTGAAAGCATTAGGGTCTCCCAGAAGAACATAGATTGATGATATTTAAACATATTCTACGTCAACACAGTGAGACGATATAGTCGTATAGTGCTACCCATGGGGCAGTGGATCGCAACCTAATTCTCCCACACGAAATTTAATGGTTAAAGTGGACACTGACGATGAAGAGGCTAAATGTTCATACTGTGTGAGTCGCCTTGTACTCTATAGCAGTCAGCGGCTTTCAAGACAATTGTCTACTTACTTTTGCCTTGCTGTAGATTTGTCCATTCTTTAATGCCTGTGCAGTATGAAGAGAATTAAATGACATAATAGAAACGCCAATGTGGAGTTTCGAGAGAGAACTAATCATATTCCGGTGAATCAAAAGGTGTGAAAAAAGCGCCGGCTGTGGATTAGACACAATAAGACATTCTGAGAACGAAATAACCAGAATTAGCACGCAATCGCAAAGGAAAGGATAACGGTGCGAGTTACTTGAGGAACTATGCTCCACTTGAGAAAAACAGGACGGAAAAATAAGAAGCAGCAAAGCAGTTAGGGTACTTACTGTAAAAAAAAAAAAAATAAAGCGCGGGTGTCGGGGGTGTCTAAAGTACAACTGTAAATATTCAAGTGTGTGTTAGTTGCGTATCCTTTACAGGACGTTGCAGAACCAACCCTAACAGCCCATGGCTGTTGTGTGGTTTCTCTAGGCAAATATTCAAGTAATCTTGTCAAAAACGTGAAAGATATTCCGATGTGAGATAGTGACCTTTAATCCCACCGGGACCGCACAACTTGGGATAAACACCCGGTGACGCAAAGTTCCACCATTTGGATGAGTGACACCCTGAAACGACGTTAAACCGTTAGGTTTTATTTAGACCCCTAACGACAGCCGGGGTGGGGTTTTGAAACAACGTAAAACTGCGTCCCATACAGGGGCGGTGATAATATGCAAAAGATACTCCATTTGTATCTAGTCGTTACAAAATTCCACCACAATAATCTTTTTCCGGTTTTTCCTTGATTATCATTCACCTTTAAAGTCTGTTGTTGGTCTCACCAATTTTTTTTAACATTTACACTATTTGTCAGTTAAAATAAACACCTACTCCCACGCCGTTACCCCCCCCCCCCCCCACCCCCACCCAATACATACATTATAATATCTATGATAGCGTAGCACTTTCTTTAAATATAAAACATCATTATCATCTTTATCACCCTTTTTCGTTTCTTTAAATTCGTATTTTTGTTGTGCTTCCTCTTCCGTTTCCTTTTTTTTTCAAGTGCCTGAGGAGCCAAGACGATGACGTCTCAGACATATTAAAAACATACAAGGATAACCAGTATTATATACTAATAGAAATAACAGTCTATTTCCATCTACAAATCAATTATTGAAGTATAGTATTTAATGTAATATATAGAAATTAAATTTGTGGAAATAACAATTAAAATGCGTTTACCAGTATTGACTACCTTACACTAAGTAGGCCAGATAGATCAAGAAAAGACGTACGAACAATTTTTTTTTTAAAGAATTTCATAAACAAATGACGAGTTTAATATCTTAGCATGAGTGTGTAAATTACACCGTAGCTTTCTAATAATTACAAATATTTGGTTTGTAGATGTTAATTAGACTATGGCACTTGCTGTACTTGGCTATCGCATGATGACACTAATTTTAGTTCATCTGTTACTGCCAATATTGGTGTCCCTACTTTCAAAACCTTTTTCTGTGTAACTACGAAATCACGTCCTTGGGGTATGTTTTTGTTCTATCGACAAATTAAGATGCGAAAGTATTAGCTGAAGACGGTCTGTCTGTTTTCGTATACTGATATCAGAAAATTAGGATGCAGGGTCATTGATAATAATTGCCATGATTTTGAACTGTTAATAATAAAAATTAAAACAATAAAAAGGCTTTAATTGAGGCGTAATAAAATGTTCAGAAAAATTTAAATTGGCGCGTGATCTTGTGTGGCTTTGAGGATTAAAACAGCGCTGAGAAGAAGAGCAAGTACTTAAAGAGGGTGTCGCTGCAGCATATGCAAATGCAACTCTGGACACGATTCAGAAGAAGACCAAGGTTAGAATCCTCGGTAAGTTAACGGGCTGGTTTCTGCTGGGAAAAATCTGCGAGTTACATTTGACAGGAGCCTGTCCTTTAGGTAATGAGGAGAGTGTTGTAACAAGATGCTAAAAAAGACTATGGCTGCAATTGACATGGAGCAGAGAATGCTTTTCACATTATATCAGCACCTGATCCTGACAGCGATTAATTGTGGCCTGGAACTGCTTACTGTCTCAAAGAGTCAGATGGACAAACTAGAGCGCATACAGAATGCAGCTATGCGGGTCATTCTGGGTTGCACCAGAGACACCTCAGTGGTGTGTATGCGATACATCCTTGGTTTGCCGACTGTTGCAGGTAGGCACACGGTGCTGCAGGTGAAGTCATTTCTTAGGGTAGCTGCAGACACAGACCACCCTTTGCACGAAGCTCTGGGTGCAGTTAAGGTCAGCTGCTGATAAGAGTGAAGTCATGGATAGCTCAGACAGGAGACAAAATCAGACAGGTTTGCATCCTTGAAAACATTAAGCGAGGAGAGCAGTGGGTCAAAGTGCCACCTGAACAGTCAGACGTGTAGGGTCTGAGCCGGGAATGCAGAGACTGGCCAGCAGGTGCCACAGAGGTAGAAATTCAGCAATTAATTCGAGATAAGGCTCGCTCAGAGGATTTGATCATTTACACAGACGGTTCAGTGTCAAGAGGGAAAAGAAGTGCTTAGGGCTTCTTAGTAAAAGTGAATATTCGACGTTTGGTGCAGGAGAGCCTAGCAAATGACAAGCATGCTGAGGAAGATCAGGACAGGCATGCTTCGCTGCGGAGGACACGAGTGAGGAATATTGTCTTGATTTTTCACCGGGGAACACCAGTGTGTTGGGAAATGAATAAGCGGACATACTGCCTGGCTCTGCACAACTTGGTGGAATACTGATACATGGTAAGGCAAATGTGGTTAGTGCCTTGTGGGAGAGTATGTACAGTTCGGAGAAGCAGATGGATCACCATGGTCTGATGAGATTGATGCAGTTGGGGGTGACGAGAGGTTCTGACAGATGCTCGAGGCTCAGAGAAAAGGCAAGACGGGCATTTAATCAGAATGCTACTGACACCATTAGTATCGGAACTCTTCGCCAGCTTCTAAAGATGAGGACAGAGCGCTTATGGTAATGCCCTGAGTGCTGTAATGTCGGTTCTTAAATCAAAATCAAATAACATCTGCTGGGGAAAGTAAAATAACATAATCTGCATAGTTCGTGGCAACTGCTCTAGCCACGAGGCCCTAAATGTTTAGGTTCAAAGACCCCGCCCCACCTCTTCGCCTACACCGTCTCGGAGAGGAAAAAGTGGGGGGGTTGTCATTAATTGGCAGTACGTCTTGTTTGGTAGACCGTCATGCTGTTTTCAGGGTAGTTCACCAACCATTGGACAATGGTGACAACCAGCTCTCTCACCTGACTCCTAGTAGCTGTCAGCTTGCGACAACGGCCACTCCCTGGACAACAGCTTTGACGGGCTGGCTAAACCAGGAGAAGGTAAACGAACAGCGCCAACTGATCG